ATTACATCTTTATACAGACGTGTCTGTTAAAATAATAATACAAATTTTTCTGGCCCACAAGGTTTAGGTTGAGATGATCCTTATATGTTAGAACAATCACTAACTGATATTGAATTTCATCCATTTTTAATAAAAATTGACAAATATAATATATATATAACTGCTTTGGGATGTCCTAGTACCGGTAATGCTGATGAAGTCGAGGCTGGAGTTGGATACATAGCAATGTTTACTGGTGAATATTTAGGAAAACGTGCAATATATATTCAATGAATTGATCTAGATGGATGTCATATAGAAATTTATCAAAATGGTGTTTCTAAATATCATTATACTGGTATGACCCCAAATGAAGTTTGGTAAGCATCTAAAAAACTAAAAAAATTTCACGGAACTGAACTTTTTGGATTAGAACATCCATTAACACATCAAGTTCTGTTAGCACAACAGATTCCTAAATATGATGAAACTTATTGGCATAACAAAAATATTATGAATCATCTTTATAATCATTTTCTTCATCACCACACTATATCTAATATTCAATAGCATAAATTTTTTATTGATTGGAAAAATAGTTCAAGTACAATAATTGAATTTCATAATTCTATAGCATTACTTTATCCTCAGCAATATATTTTTAAAGACCGTGAACTTCGAGCATGGAGAGCACTATTTAAAGCAGCCGGTTGTCATGAAATAACTCTATTCACAAATAATAAATCTAAGGTAAATTGAAATTAGATTGATAATGCTTATGGCAAATTGTTTTTAATAAAAATATGTGTAATTTTTTCTTATTAAAAAAAAAAAAGATCCAATTTTGGAGCCGTTCATTGAATGTATTACAAGACCAATATACACTTGCTCAATTATATTCTCAAGGATTTTTGACATTACCATCAGATAATACGAGTGATCAATTATAGGAATGCTTCAAAAATGTGTATAATGCAAACAAAAAAGGACAAGATGGACGTACTCGAATTCTATCAATAATTGCAAAAGAGTTTACCTATGCTGAGTTGGAAAAAAAACTTGGTGTTAGTATACATTATTTTAAAATAAAACATACAAAAAAAAAAATAAAAAATAAAATAAATATATTATGCCAGATTTCTTCAAAGACCGTATCTAGTGCCCGATTATATGC